GTGGTGCTGCAGGTGCTGCTGGGAAGCGCTGCCCCGCCCCTTCCTCACCTGCAGCCTCCAGGCACCTACTCCTCGAGGGCAGCAGGGCACAGGGGTGGGAGCTCGGTTTCTGGAGCCTGCATTTGAATCCACTCCGGAGAGTCCCAGGCGAGGGGCCGTTACCCAACTTGTATTTTCTCATTGCAAAAACAGGAGTGATAACAAGAGCACCAGCTCCCCGCTCCCGGGGCTGGGACAATCCCGCAGGGAGACAGCATGTCAGATGCCCGGCAGAACACGGTCCAGCTCTGTGACCTCGCAGGATTCCCTGAATCTCTCTGGACCCCCAGTTTCCCGTCTGTACAATGGGAATGCTGGTTGTAAAGATGGAAGTAACTCTGAGAGGATCTAGCACAAATGAGCACTCTAGTCCTTCTCCCCCTAAGCTGGAGTGGCCCCCCAATAGCATCAGGTCAGGGCGAAGAGATGCCAGGCCTCAAATCCCAGCCCTCCCAGTTATCGACTCTGTGCCCTTGGGCAAGCTGCCCAACCTCTCTGAGCCTCGGTTTCTCCTCTGCAAAATGGGGTAGTAAGAGAAGCTACCGCAAGGGCTGATCCTGGAGCCGGAGTCTGGGTGTGTAGTGCCTGCGAGGAGTAAGGTATTCACAGCTAGTGCCACCTGCCCCACCAGGCAGTGCCCCCCTAGAGGCAACGTCCGTGGGAGGGGCTGCTGAGCTTGGGCCCTGGGCAGCGTTGTGTCCCAGGTCCGGGGGACTGACAGATGAGACATGGTCAGGATTCTGCATTTTCGTAGTTCTGATGTGTTCATAGGCCCTGGAAGGTTCCTGGAGGCCGCCTCCCGCACTTCCAAGCCCAGGGCTGTTATTTCCTGCTTCCTACGGAGTCTGGGTCCGGCCCCAGCCCAGCCTTCTGAGCCTGCTGCTGAAGGGGCAGGGAAAGCTCCTGGGCTCCTGGGACCAGGCCAGGAGTCTGGCCCCGGGGGAAGGGACGTGATGCTGGAGAGGTCGGCAAGTCTCAAGTACCAGCCTATGCAGTGCGACACCACATGGAGGGCGGGCAGGGACCCATGGGAGCTTCGGACAAGTAGCTGTGTGCTGAGAGCCGATGGGAGGAGGGCGAGGCCCCTGGGAGCGCAGGGGTGGGCTCCCAGGGGGGTGGGGTCGGGGCTTGGGGACAGGAGGAGAGAAGGCCCAGCAGTGCAGCCTCTGCCGGCAAGGATCCCACTGGGATCCGGGGAGAGGGGGCCGAGTAGCTTGGGGGTGAGCCCGGGAGGTGCAGCCAGCTCCCCACCCCTCCACCCTCCACGGCCATCCCCAGATGAGCTCAGCGAAGTCACTGGCTCTGTCGTGCCTTTTAAGGCAATGGTGGCTCCTGCCACCTCCCTGTTCCCACTTGCTCAGAAATTCCCAGCAGGTATTTTCTTTTCTTTCTTTCTTTTTTTTTTTTTTTCCCAGGAGGAATGGAATGAGACTCCTTGTTCTGTCACCGCAGGATTCCAGCGAGGCCTGTCTGGGGGTTCTGGTGACAGGAAGCGCACAGCGACAGACCCTCAGAGAAGCACCCTCAGTGACACGTGCAGGCACAGATTGCGGGAGACAGACACGGCTGCCCCACCCACCGTGGGCCCACAGCAATGCCTGGAGACCCCTGGCTGGGGCACCCAGACACACACACGAATACGGGCGGGTCCCCGAAGCAGGGAAAGTTTACTGAGCACCTACCGTATGCCAGGCCCTGGCTAGGTAGGCAGTGGGGATCCAGTCCCACCTTCACGGACCTGCCTCCCTTGGGAGTTCACATCCAAGCACGGAAGCCTCCCCTACCTCAGGGCCTTTGCACCTGCTGTTCTGCTCGTCGGGGGTGTCCTCTCTGTAGAGCTCACTCTGGTTGGATCCTCTACACTCTGTCTCAGAGCGGCCCCCCATCACTCTGTAGCCCACTGGCCTATTTTATTTCCTCAAGGCATCCATCGTTTTTTTTGTTGTCGTTGTTGTTTTAAAGATTTTATTTGAGAGAGGGGAGAGAGCACAAGCAGAGGGGAGAGGCAGAGGGAGAGGGAGAAGCAGACTCCCTGGGAGCCTGACGCAGGGCTCGATCCCAGGACCCTGGGATCATGACCCAAGCAGAAGGCAGACGCTTAGCCAACTGAGCCACCCAGGCGCCCCACATCCAACACTTCTAAAACTGTCTTGTTTACTTGTGTTTACTGTCTGCACACCCACCTCGATCAGCTTCTGGGGAGAAGGGCGGTTGAGTTGCCCACTGTTCCCCCAGCAGCTGGAGGAGTGCTGTGTCCGTAGCAGGTGCTCAGGATTTGAGTGAGTGCAGCTGACCCCACACACGTGTGGTTGGCCTTTCCCACTGCCCCCCAGGAAACCCTATTATTCGTCCTAACAACGTCAGCTGTCCTGTGCCCCCGCTGGGGCAGTCTTGCTCATTTGGTCCCACTAACACCGCTGAGGAGGTGAGTCACCACCAGATGAGGCTGAGGCTTGGAACTGCTCAAGGTCACTCACTGGCCGGGGGCAGGCAGAAACAAAGAGGATGGGAACAGGAGGGTATGGTCAACAGCCAAGGGCTCGCCCCTATCAAGTAAGCCAGCCCCTGAAAAGGGCTGTGTACGTGTCACATGTGTGGGGACAGAGAAGGGCGTGGTGACCCCGTCACCTGGAGGTGTATCTGTGGTGCTGGATGCTTGTGTGCAGTCCTCAGCCTGGAAGCACACAGAATATTCTTTCCTGCCCTTAGGAGCAAGCCTTGGACCCCACATCCCATCATTCTGGCCATGCCCACGACTGAGCAGAGCCCTGGACAGGAAGCAAGGGCCAGCGAGGACACCTCTGACCCGCAAAACCCCTCCTACCTGGGCTGGGTGGGCAGGTGGGCTCCAGGGCTGGTCTAAGGGTAGTGGAGAACCCCCCAGGCTGTGGCCAAGGGGATGAGGGCGGACCTCCTGCCCAGCTCAGTGTCCTCTCCAGAAGCTGACTGGGTTGGGACTGACAAGAGAATCCCACATCGGCAGAGCCCAGGTCCCGTGCCTCGCTCTGCCAGAGGTGCCTGGTGGCCTTGGACCACGTCCTGACCCTTCTGCCTGTGGGCTTGACCCCCAAGACCATGGCGAATCCTGGTGAGGAGACCCTGGTAGGAAGGGGGAATAACTGCCCTCTCCAAAGCCTAGAATGAAGCCCTGGGCCCCTCCTCCTGCAGGATGCTGCCCACTCACCCCCTGGCGGCCGGGGCCTGAAGTGCAGCTCCAGCCACTCCAGAATCAGGATCCAGAGGACCCAAGGTCAGGAGGCACTGAGGCAGCTAACAGGTCTTTTGCATTAGCCCAAAGCGGGCTTTGAAGCCCACTCCCCCAGAGCTCAGAAGGGGCTCCAGAAATGCTGGGCAGAAGACATCATGGGAGGGGCCCCAGCTTGGGACTCATCTGTGCACCCCAGACCTCACCCTGCCTGTCTCAGGGCCCTTAATTTTAGCAACCTGTTGTGGGCTTCCAACCTGGGCGTTAGGACTTCACCCCACTCACTGTGGGCACCATGCTAACTGGGAACCAGAGGGACAACTTGGGCCACCTCGAATGTACTTGGCCTAGCACCACGTCCACAGCACCAGCCCATCCCCAGCTAGCACCACCACTGCAGAGGGCGTCAGAACCAGGTGGGACAGTGGCTCACGGCTGGGCTGGGAGCACCCAGAGCTGCCCCAGCTGCAGTCTCAAGGGGTCAAAGGCAAAAAACACGCTACGTAACCGAAGGCTGCGTGAGGCAGCTCTGGCTGGGGATGGGCTTAGCAGAGTCCGTGAGAGCATTGGGACACCCGGAATGCCAGGATTGCGGCCAAGTCAGTCTGAAATCA